ATGGAAAATGGGAAAACAATCCCTTAATTCTCACGAAACTGAAGCGAAAACTAATAAAAAACCGAAACAATTTCGAAGCTATTCGATGGAAATAATGAAGAACGTGAGGCATTTGCCGCTTCTGGTTTAGTTGGCATATAAAGAAGAGCTCTTCGCATCACCCCATGCAGGGCACATAAAAACAAATTTTATGACAAAAGTTTCGTCCTCGTTGTTCTTGCGAGGCGACGAGTGAAAAACCAAACCAAACCAAACCAAACCGAAGTGTAAATAAATACAAAATAAATTTGATGAAAATTGTGCAGAAAAGTTCATTTAATATGGATTAAAAGTTTTCTTGTTGTCTGGGCGAATCGTGCGAGCAAGAAAGCGAACTCCCTCGAGTTCGTATCTGTCTCTCCACGGCTTAATTCGATCTGATTTGATGGGCATGGGGACTCGAGATTCGAGAATGGCCCCCAAACAACGCTTTATGATGATTGGCATTGGCATGCGAGACCACTGTCACCAGTAATTGGATTTTTAAGCAGTCGAATTCCGGATTTCTATGCCGGCAAATTAAATTATATGGAAAGTTTGCAACAGTTATCCTCGGCTAGATGCTGCTGCATAATTCATTACAACTATGTGGAAATTTCGATAACTCACAAGTTTGGAAATTTGTGCGCAAATTAAATTAAGCTGTCACTGCCCATGCCACACACACACACACCCCCGGGCAACCCACTTTCTACTCCCACTTTCCCCCTCTTTCCCGCACTTTCCTCACAACACTCAGGCCACAGAAACTTTCTTTGCAAAGTGTCAAGTTTCAGTTGTCGTAGACGTTGCCGAAATTATTTTTTGAAGTTTATTACACGAAGGCGTGCGCGTGTCCAAGTATCTTCCACCCAGATATATGTACATATATAATGGCAGCTCCTACTCCAAATCCAATTCTATGTCGTGTGTGATGCTCCCCGGTGCTTAGAGATCATTGACCAGTCCTGCTCCGGAGTCCCAAAGTCCCGGAGTCCTGGAGAACCGGAGTCCTGGTCGTTGGTCAAACTTTTCCACACTCATTTGAAGCACTTGTCCGGCGATGACAAAAGTTGGCCAGTGCAAATTCAATAAGGCGACACTTTGCATAAACGAGGCAGGTCCGGCCAAAGTTTCCAGCTCGCCCCGAAAATCTAAAATGTTAAATGTTAATTTAATGAACCCTTTTTCCCGAGGCCTGAGTCCTGAAATTTGGTTAGGCGGATTTCAAGAAAAGGTTACCTTTGCTGGCCGAGAAATACACTTAAGGAAAAATGTTAAATAAAATCTAACAACAAAATATCCAACTGAAACATCTTCAACTGCATAGCTACAAAATTTTTATAATAAGATTAGATTATAATTTGGCAATGTCTGAGATTCCCCATTTCGATGCTCTTATGAGCACACATATAATGCCTTGCTTCTGAGATTCTTGAGAGATTGACGTCTTCTCCATTTTGCCAGCTGGTGCATTTCCTCTTCCCCTTCATATATATAATATATATTGTGACCGGCACTCAAGGAATTGCCAACTGACAACTGGCTTTCAGTCCGTTCGAAGGCTTCACATCTCATTGCACTGTTTATTCATGAGGCTGCAACACTTTTCTTAATAAGTCTTCATGTCCCCTGTCCATTGTAAGTTGTCCAGTGTCCAGAGAACAGACTGCGATGGAAGGCCCTCGGTGCAAACAATTCCGGATGAAAATGTCCATCTGGCATTGAGGTCCCGCATTTCGTCCATTTGCAGTTATTGTAGTTATTGTCTGGGAAAAGTGTCGCATATGTGGGAGCTCAGCCTGGCATTTATTTATTTGCCCAGTGCCCTTCGCTGCAGCGGGAATATTTGTGATAAAAAGCAGGCCAACAGGCCAAGTAGTTTCTCTGTCAATTAAAATGGGTTCGAGGCGTGTCAAATCTCCCCGGGGAATAACGGCGGTGCAGGATAAAATGGAACCGGACTGCATTGTCATTACTCGTATTTATTGTGCACTCATCCTGCCTCATTTGCGTTTTGCTTTAAGTGATTGCAAATTTGCTCGGCGGCAGCTTTAATGCGGTCCGAGTTCGAGTCCTTGCTCTATTAATCAGAGCATTCATGCACACTTAATGCACATTTTCGTTAATCACGCTCCATGCACATGGAACGCTTCTCGTCAGCACAAATATTACGATTGGGCGGCGATAAATATCGCACATCCGCCGTGTGTGTATCACGTTTACGGGGGTTTTCGAGAAAGCCCCACGGGGTTCCTCAATCACGCTTAATAACTATGCACTGGCGATGGTAATTTGGAGAAAATCAAATCATTATATCTTATTTTTACCAGCTATTGATCATATATTACTAGATATTAAATATCAATAAATATCATATTACTAACATTTATATATATTTTTATTATATAATATAAATACCGAATATTATATTTTATTATTCAAAATACTAGCATTGCCAATACTTCTAACTAGAAATTCCGAGAACCTCTTGATGAGATTTTCCCACGGTGCAACCTGACATCTCTAAACTGTGCTCTATAAACTCTGCTCGATGATATTGAAGCGAAAGTCAAGTGACAGTCCCCCGAGCGCTGGGTAACTATAAATTTGAGCGGGAATCAATGGAATCAATTTACGCTTCTGGCCAGTGCAATGTCTGCTTTTTGCCGGAATGGCGGCTAGAGGGGTGTGAAATGGGGACTGGGGATCGGGATCGGGTCTGGGATTGGGATTGGGATTCCAATGACGGTGAAGCGATGACGCGACAAGAGCGTTAGTTGGCCATTTGAAATGCACACTTGACATCCTGCGACACGCAGGTCAGGAGGATATTGCAGGAGGACATCGTGAGAAAGGCAAACAGAGACGTACATATAGAGTAGTCGGGGGAATCAGACATCAGAAATCAGGATAACCACCAACCAGCGGCGATTGTGGCGGGGTTGAAAACATCATAAATAAATCAATTTGTAATTCGATGCGCGTAGCTAATTGATTTTAATTGTGCTCTGCGGTCTGTCAAACTCAATTTGGTTCACTCTTCGCCGTGCGTTGCGGATTTTTGCAGGACACAAAGCTTTTGCAGGACACGTACTCGCTGTCGTCTAATGGCACGTAAATAAGCCGTGGTCCCTGTATCCCAGTTACCCAGAACCAGTATTATTCGAGCCGGGAACATGGAGAACAGGACATGTCCATGCCCTTTCCATGTTGCCATCGCCATCTGCAATGCAAATTAGTTGACTTCAATTAGCAGGCACTGCATCATTTCGCTGCAATTCAGCTACTGTTTCGCACTGTTTTGGTATCGGAAATACTAGGCCGTGTCCTGCCAAAGAAATAAAGTATCTAATTGGCCCTTGCAAAGGCCCATTGGCAATCAGAGCGGATGTTCGAGGGCCGGAACATGCGTGGGAAATGTTGATCGAATAATTGAAGGATCTTGTTGCGGTGCATGGGCTGGCCAGCTAATTGATGGATGTATGTTCAAACGAATGTGTAACTTGATTCGAGTTAGAAAATTAAAGATATTTCACAAGTTCCCAAGCTGTGTAATTATTACTGGTAGATGCATATTAAGTAGCTCGAATAAATACCACTCAAAGAAGTCTTTATATATGAAATAGGTTGCAACTTTAAGACTCCTTTGATGGCTACAAATATGTGACTGAAAAAAAAGGTATACCTAAAAGAATTATCTGCACACCAACTTTAAAAATAAAGCTAAAAAATATATATTAAATTTGATGTTAGTCATAATTACTTTGGAATTTTTTTATGTCAATGAAAAATATGTTATATTTTAAATATATATATATCATATTATATTTTTTATCAGTGATATTCACACTCCACTGCTTCGTAGCCTTTTTAATTGCCTGAGAAACTCGGCTATAAATAAGTGTAATTCCACTGTGAGCATTCGCAAAAACTGATTGTTTGTGGAAATTAAATTGGATTAGTAGAAAGAGATATTTCCGGCTGCTTTTGCATTGTCGATGATTCTTGTCGAAGTCAAGGATTTTCCGAATTTGCAACCGACACAGAGCCGCATAACTTCAGTTTCGTATTCTGATACATTCTGCTGCCATCATTTTCAGAGTGGTTGCCATTATTTCGGTGCTTGTTTGTTTGCAATTTAATTTAAATACACAACACAGAACTTTCCAGACGCTGGGCAAACGAATGGAAATTTGAATGTATTTTTATATTTGCTCGCCTTTATTTGCTAAAATATTTTCTATACGAAATCACGCACAATTCAGATGTTTCTTTCGCAATGCAACTTTATAAACAACTATACGTATGTTTTGGGTATTATGTGGGGAGGATAGAAAATACTATAGCGAAAGGGTATCCTTGTGTATATGTAGCACAATTATTTGTGATAACAGGCAGAGGAGAACGAACCCTCTTGGCGAAAAGGAAAAGAAACGACTTCTCTCGGCCGCAATTGAAAAGAAATAACAAAGCGCGCTTCAATAATTTCGGAAAAGCGTCGGGAAAAACTAGGAAGCACAAAATATAATACAAAATGCGCATGCAGAACGGAAATGGCAAAAAAGCGAAGGGAAAATGCAGGAAAAGCGGAACGGGAGTGTGCATCGCATTGTACTAGATTCCTTCTTCTATATTTCTTTCAGATCTTCCGCTGCGTAACGGCAAGTTTTTTCACACTTTGCCAGGCAAACTAAATGCAGACAATAACCAGAAAGGGTGGGGTGCTAAAAAAAGGTCTCCTTTGTTGCAAAAATGTTGAGTAAGAATTCCTAACGCCAAAAATCAACAGTGAGAATTTGTTGAATCGGAAAATCCCTTAGGTCACCGGTCAGAAAACCTAGCAAAAGTAAAGGAAAATGGGGTAGAGCTTAAAATTTGCATCTTCACATTTAAATGAATTCGTAGATGACCTTCATGAACTTACCTCGAAATAGATCACAGTCCCACTTTTTCAGTAAAAACCCCGTTTTTAAAATTAACACACATTTTATTTAATTTCACCACCATTTACAATATGCCCATACAAGGCTTTGATTTATTTACTTTAAATTAAATTAATTTAATATGTTTCTTTAAATATATTTTACACACATTTTCCTCTCCTCCTGCGAACACACTCCTTTGATTTCTGGCTTTATTCTTTTGTTATTCTGCTCTGTTTATTTTTCTGTTATTTTGCACATTAAAAGTAGAATCAGTAATTTCATGTACTTAGCATATTTTCCTTTTACTGTATCTCGTTCGTGTAAACATTTATATTTGAATTGTGTATGTCCTGCTTTATAGGTTTTAAACTCTTCTGTTCTGCTGTCCAACCTTCGGTTTTCTTTGTTTACGACTAGGCTAGTTTATAAATGTTTGCTTAAACTTAATTTGTTTTTACTCTTTAGCTCGCTAGTAGACACCACATCTCCGAGTGTGGTTTTTTGGTGTAAAACAAGGGTCAACATGAAAAGCAGTCGTCAAAAGAAGATACTTGAAAGTAACAAAGTTGGGGTGTTCACTGGATCTGTTTAAAGAATAAATGCTGAACTGATGGTTAATTGGTTTGCATCTGACTAAGAATTGGCTTCTAAAATGGTTTATTACGACTAGAATGACTTTCAAGTATGTTCAAATGCGGCGTGATAAACGTTTAATCAAGCCCTCTGTTCGCGTTACGTACAATATGGATCACTTAAATACTTATTAATTTCTCAGTTCCAGCAAAGCACCCCCAATACATCATCATATACTTTAAATTACTTAGGGCTTTAACTAACTGGTAACACACACGCCTAGGCCAGATCGTCTGTCCTCGATTCTGGCCAGGCCAGTTGCTGTCGGGACGCCTTGGAGGCGCTGCAGCTGGACAGGGGAGCTGGACGCCGGTGGAGCTGCTCCCGGGAATGTGCCATCGAGGGCCTGACCTCTGACCTCTGGCAGGTCTCAAATGCAGCCTCAATTAGCCGGAACAAGCCAGCCAGGATGGCCATTATAAGCGGCGCCACATAGACGCCGGGCAGGAGTCGCGATGCCGCCGATGCCGAGGTCGAGAAATACGAGCTGAAAAAGTTCTTCAGGCTGGAGTCGGAAGAGAGCGTAACTGCAAGCGGAAGAGCGGAAGTGCCGGCGAAAAACCGGAAACGGAAGTCAGTTGGATCTGGTGTAATTGAGTCGCGGCCATCGGTTTTGCCAACTTACCACGTGCCGGTATCGGATCCTTCTGCGGAGTGCCCAACTCGATTTCCTTGTACTCCTGGTACAGATCCCCGATTTGCGCCGAGCAGCGCAACAGTAATCCCCCAGGATTCGGATTTGGGGCATAAACCGGTCCGCCGTGGCCGTAAACCGAGTTCAGACCATAGACATTGTTGTAGATGGCCGGGTTCACGCTGGAAAAGTGAACGCCCTGCAGTTGCAGCTTCAGCGAGATCCGCGAGGCAATCAGATTATCGATGGTGCGTATGTACTGAGTGTCCACATTGGTTATCTATAAGAAAGAATAGAAAATATATATTAAGAAAAACTGTTAGGATTTTATGTAAAGTTTTGAACAAAGGAGTATGTCTTGTTCATATTTAAATATTTGCAAAGTTATTTTTGGCTCTACAACATTTGCCATAACAAAACAAAAGAATATTTATCATATTAGATTAATTTATTCAAAACGACTTAGGATTTGCTGTTTAAGGTCTTACACTGAAAACTGAGTTGCAATTTCATATTGTAATATTTTTAGAAAGGGGTTTCTTTCTTACCTAAAATCAATTTAACTACTTTTAACTCCTTTCTTTTTATGATACAATACATATGATGACAAAATATAAGAATTTTTACTAACTTTTTCTTAGTGCATTGGCATTTGGCATTGCAAGTCTTATCTTGATTTAAAGACTAGTTTTTCTCAGTGGTTAGGGAAGCGTACAAGGGGATTATAATTTTAGACTGCGCCTGTTTATTTTACGCTCGCAAATGCATTTGCATATTTTAAGGCGCTCGAGGGGTCTGCGGCGGGATGGAAAGGCCCCAGCATTTGGCAACGTTTAGCCCTCACGCTCGTAATACTTTTGTTTGTACTTCTCCTTTTGGCCGTTTGGACGGACCGAGCAGAAGGAAAAAACTTTTGCCAGCCAGCATCTTGTCGCCATTTGCAAGTTGGCACAGTTTGCCAAAGAGCACAGTGGCGGCGGGGGAGGGGGCCTATCGGGGTGGCCAGGGATTTGCCACATGTGCTGGGAGACACTTCTGTATGCATGGAAATTATGTATCAAGGAACTTTATCTGTGTTAATGCAATGCAGCAAAAAGCAGCGGCGTCTGAGCACAACACAAACACACAAAAGGATGGAAAAATGAGCCGGAAACTTGGCTGGACGGAAGTATGCCCTTCAAAAAAGCGAAATTCAAATAAAAGCGGAAGAAAAGTATTTGGAAATCTAAAATTCTTGAAATTAAATTACTTTTATGTGAGGCGTTTTAAGGACTATTCTAATATCTTGCATAATTTAACACATAATGATTTTTAAAATTGTTATATCTTTTAGTATTTAAACTGCCCCTAAAAGTTTTGTATATTCCTCAATATAATTCCTTAATATTAGTCAATTCTAAGTTAAATTATTAGGTTTATTATTAATCAGATTTTTCTAGACCTAGACCATTGGCTAATATTGTGTTGATCCTCCAACTTTTCTTCCGAACAGTACTTAATATGTGTTTGAAAAGTATATACCCTCTAAAAACAGAGGGATGGAAAATGGCGCTTGAAGCCCACACAATTGCACACATTAGTGGCTCCAAGGACTGCTGCCAGGACATGGGACATTCGACATGGAACTTGGGATTTTGGACATGGTACATGGCCATCAGGGGCTCTACTGGCCTGGCTAAAAAACGAAAGCGGCCGAAAAACTGCAACGCATTTGACGAAAGTTTTAGCCAGTTTGTGCAGCCTTGCCTGCTTTTCTGAGCCTTTGGTTCGGAGCTTCCTTTTGGAACTGTATTTCTTATGCGCCATCTTTGCCATTCATTTGGCCAGCATCCGTATTGGTCTGCATCCGCATCCCAATCCGCATCCGCATCCGGATCTGTTTCTATATCCCGGCCCATGTCCTCGCTGCGTAAGTCCACTTTATTTGCGCCAGCTCTAAGATGCTTAAACTTGCATTTGGCTTAAATGCTGCCAGCAGCTCCTTCATGCGAGAACAGCTTTTATGCTTAATGGCAGTTATTTAGTGCAATTCACTGTAAAATTGTTGCCATAGGAGAATCTGCCACTCGCCATTGCCATTGCCATCGCCAAGTCTCTTTCCTTTTCCCAGTGTGTGTGCAAAAGGATTTGCGCTTTGATAAATAATTTTTCCCCATACGCATGTGCATGCCAAAAAGCAGATGTTTAAGCAGCAGAAGTTCTCCTTCCATTTCCGTATTTTTCTTGCCTTGCCAGTTTTCTTTATTTTTTTAGCCCGGCTTCTCTCTGCATCTCATATATTTTTAATAGTTGTCTCTGAAGAATTCAGGCCCAAAACTTATGTGTGAATTTTGGGCCATGGTTGCACTTCGTGTTGCAGCTTAGCAGCACTTTTTGGAAATTGTCAAAAACTAATGGAGAGTGGGTCCGAGATAAGCCAGAAATAAAGCTTCTTTATGAGACGCTCCGGATCGCCTGGGTGTTCGTTATGGAACCCATTCAAGTAATCCGCTTTTTGCTTTATTTTATTTATTGCTGAAATTTGAGCACATTTGGGACATTTTTTGTTTAAAAAGTTTGCGCAGCAAGGTATTCGTTTATGGAAACCTCTACAAGAAGGTCACAGAATTTAGATTAGCACCGAAGAAAATCTAAAGCACTTAGCTAAAAATGGGAAAATCTATGGAAGGCTTGGGTTTCGTTTAAAAAAATTTATTTGTCTTGGTAAATATTATTTTTTGGTGACGACAAATTTTAAAAATCGTATGTTCTTTTATTTGGCACTTTAAGGGGTCCTGTTTTTTTTTAAAGGTCTTTGAAATTTGGAAATATTAAATGTAGTTTTATCAATTAATTAACATTGCGTTAAAGCTGATTAAGGAACTAAACAAAAATTGTATTCAAGTTCAACATTATATACTGCAATTATTTTAATTGGCATTTTTCAGGAAGAAAGTTATAACAAAAAAATATTTCTGTTCTATATACAATTTTTTAAAGATTTTATCTCCCCCTCAGTTTAGCGTACCTTTTAATTGTTCAACCACAAACGCACATCTGTGTGTTTTTTCATATTTGTGCTATGCATTTTATATAAATAATCCATGTGAAACAGATTTGGCGCTTGAAAATGCAAAATTCAAATAAGAGTTTAAGAGCTGCCCTCTATTAGTTTTACTTATTTATCTGGTAACAGGACTGAAAAATATCCGAAATTTTGGTTTTTACCAATTTTATTCCCCCCGTGACACTTGCTCCGCAGGCATAAATTTCCATGCGTTCGTTCAACCGAAACCCTGGTGGCTCCGCCCTCCCAGACGATGCAAAAACACAATAAATATATTTTATATTTCATCCAATATAGTGCACAATTTGTCCCTCAGCCCTATATGTATTCGTTCGGGTTTTTGTGTGTGCAATGCATTGCCAGCGTATCAATAACAAATAAATTGTGGATAGCACTGCAATATCTCTGGTAACTGGTAGCTGGTTTACTGGCTGCCAAGAGTGTTTGGAGGTATGGCATATAGGGCAGCAGAAAAACTATGGCATGAAGGAGCTGCCAACTGCTGGCTACGAAGCTTTTTTCAATTTTCCGCTAAATTTGGCAGGGCTCAAGTGCTATTTGTCTTCATTAATGCGAATGCGCCTAGAACTTTGGCAGGCGCCCCTGGAAGATTCCTTGGTTCGTTCAACCCCGATGATGGCAAATTCTGCGTGGCATTTTTAAGCCGACGCCAAATGACATGCAGCAGTTATTAATTGGCAATTTACATGCCGAATGATTAATGCCTGGGCCCCAGGGCGGAAACAGCCAGGGTCTCGAAATGGAGCCACAGCAGCAGTCTTAAACCGAAGGCACATATGTCACCAGGGTGGATGTTAAGTACACATGCGGCCACAGAAATAGAAACCAATATTTCAACATTTTGAACTAATTTTACCAACAAAAATATCTACTTATAATAAAAGTTTTCTATAAGTTAAATAAATTTAACAAATGAAAGTAATTTTAAAGAAAACAATATTGTCTCCAATGTGATACTTAAAAAAAGTATTCTCATTTTCGCTTTAACTATACATACCTATCATAATTCTACATCATTTAAATCATAAACTAAACATTCTATGTGAATAAGATTTTATAAGAATATTATAACTCTTATAGTGTTATATATCAAATAAGGAAACTCCCAATATATATATCATGTTTAAAGCAAGGCTTAAAGGTCCTTAAATTTCTTGGTGTTTGAAACTTTTTCCTTGTTTTTTGACCGCTGCTGTGCACGTATAGGAATCGTTTTCCTGGCCTGGGAGTGAGGGAGTTTTGGGTCCGGACCTCTTGCAAATTACTCCTGTGGCATTTCACCGCAAAAACTTTTGTCAACAGAAAGTTGTGGCTCCTTGCCGGCGCACCTTTTAACGTAAACTTTGCAGGAAATGTCGGAAGTGCCTGAGTGTGGAGTGTGTGTGCGTGGGTGTTGGGTATCGGGTGTGTTTTCCGCCCACACACCCCTTTCTCCTACACCCCCCCCCCATGTTGATTTGCACAGCATGAAATATTCATTTGTTTCCTGTGATCGGCAATTGTAATATATCTTCCTCCTGCGGTATCGTTTTCTACTCAATTTTAGTCAATGTCTGCCACGTTTGCTTACTGTTTGTTGTCTCTCAGCCATTGGTTGCCATTGCCAAAAGTTCTCGATGTCCTTGCAGCTCCGTGTGCCTCCGTGTGGACCCCCTTTAGAGCCATCCTAGGACCCCCTGTTGTGCCCCCTCAACCCACAACAGCCCCACCGCACAGCATCATTGGCATTTGGAGAGGCATTGCCGATAAGCTATCATTTCATTTCCAGGCAACACAACCCGTTTGAATATTCTCCCCGAAATTCCCCATCGTTCCGGCTGCCAGTTATTGCGGTGCAAATGATTTGAATTCATTTATCATGTTTAATGCGAGATTGCCGAGTGCGCTTCTGGAATGTGGCAACCATTTTTCAACGGCATTGACAACAGTACAGCCTTTCGAGGACTAAAGAGAGCGTTTCCTTAAAGGGGATTTGTGCTAATAAAATCAGCAACCAGAAACACGAGTATTGAGTTTATAAAGATATAATAGAGAAACCTTTCGTTTTAAAAAATATTTTTAAATATTTGCTGCAGGCATTCTGTGGCTGTATTTTCTTTTGTTCCAGAGCATGACCTTTATTCAGTGATAACAATATGAACTTAAATCCCCTGCAGTCCACACACGCACTGGCTTGGTTGCTCTGCCACCCGCATAATATTTTCCCAACCGCAAACCAATTGGAAGCTCTTGCGATAGAAAATTATGCATTCATCCTAAACTAAAACCAACCATAAACAATTTTGCCAACCGCTCAGCAGGACTCATCTTTAGCATAGCAAGCAGCTCGAAAATCAGAAAAGGGAGGATTATGCAGTTGCACTTGCGTTGAATGGTAGGGAGCAAAAAAACGTGGGCAACCTGTTAAGCACGTGGAGCCAGGATCCTCAGACTCCTTAGTTTCGAGTGCCTCTGGCCCAGACACAACCCTTTTCAAGCGCAAATAGAGCGAAAGACTGGGGATCGCCTTGACCGATTCTGAACCTGAACTGCTCTTGACATCGGGGCCTGGGTCGAAATTATAAGCAGGAAAATAGAGGGGAGCGAACATGTGGCATGCATATTCATAAAATTGCAATGGAACAGCTCGCAGGACAACAATGGCAGCACGACAGCAGCCAAAAGTGAAAATCCACAAGGAATGACAGCCCTGAGAGTTTCGGAAGGAGCCAGCACACAGATGCGACTGGTCTCGATCTTTAGCGATGGCAGGTTGGCTATTAAGGGCCAACTCCTAGCTTAGAAAATAAAATTATTAAAACTATATAGTCTATCCAGGGTTTTTGCCATCTTCAAGCCCTCATCGTTTTTAATTTTTATCATAAACCTAACAATATATTAAATACGAATTAATATTTGATAACAGGCATCCATAAAATTCCAATTCTAATTTTCAAAAATAGCTTACGCTCTAACAGATTTTAAAATGCAGGGCATATATAAACTTGAATTTGCTGCTTCAGTGGGAAATAATATTTCTTAATTTAAAAAATTTCTAATTGTCTATCGCTAACGGGCCCATTCTATTAAATAAATATTTTATTACGCTTAGCCTCCAAGAAGACTCTAACAATTAAAAGTAAGCATAATTCTCTAGCAACAAAAATCCGACAGCACTGTCTTTCGACAGAAGATATAGGGGTTGTGCTTGCGACCGCATAGAAATCTGTATTTCACAGTAACTAAATGACAAAACGGGCTTTTGGGGCACAGATGCGGTCGCCTTCCTCGCACTCCGCCCTTCTTCACCCTTTGGCCCCTCATATGCATTGTTAATACACATGACAATCCTTACGCTCGCTGGCAGGCTGTGAAATTGCGCATACGCCACGTTGACGGATGGACGAGCCCCCAAGGCAAAGGCTTGCAAAAACAAAAACCCAAAAAAAGGAAAACACAAGGAAAAAGAAAGCGGAGCAGAACCCTTTTGATTAAAGTCTTGTCCTAGCCCATTTTCATGTTCATTTCTCAGCAGAATAGACAAGCACTTCAAAGGCTCTGCTCGGCTTTGAACACAAAATAGCCGCTGACCCGCTGTCAGATTTGTATTCCACTCTCCCCAGGAACATGAAATAAATTGAAGCAGACCGTTCTGGCCAGGTCGGTAATATTTCATGGGAGTGATTGCGAGTCGAGTCGAAAGTACTCACCACCATGTTGTTGATGGTAAATGTGAGTTCTGCCCGCGGGCGCGACGGGGGAGTGCTGCAATTGGCCCGCAGGACATCGCCGGGCTCGTAGCGCGTGTGTTCCGTGAAAAGCTGCGGACGCTTCTCGGGCAGCTCTGAAAAATGGGAAAGAGGGCAATCGAAAAGGTTGGTTAGTTTTTGATTTTTTTAGGCTACAATTTGAAGTTAGGGATTGGTATACCCTTCAGCTTAAACCATATCATGCAACTAAAATCAAAATTATATTACAGAAACGGTATATTCAGAAGTTTGTTATAAATATAATACATTATATAGATATAGTGAGATTTTTACATAAAAAATTCAATGTTCTAAAATGTAACTCCCTCTGCACGGCTATAAAAATGTGCTTAAACTTTAACCCTCGTCTAAAAAAATATTTTAATGTAGAATATTACAGAGTTCAACCACAAACTCATAGAGGTATCCCAGTCTAAATCGGGATCCAATTACCCAGTTATGAATTTAGAAGGGCTGTTTTGGGTCCCATTCTGAAAGCCATTGGGTTTACGGTAAAATCGAACATGAAAATGGTCAAAATTTTGACCCTCGTCTACAAGAAAGATTTGAATGTAGAATGTTAGAAAATTCAACCACAAACTCATAAAGGTATCCCACGTCGAAATCGGGATAGAATTACCCAAGTTATGGAATTTGGAAATGCTGTTTTTGGGTCCCATTCTGAAGCCATTGGGTTTACGGTAAAATAGAACATGAAAATGGGTCAAAATGTTGACCCTCGTCTATGGGAACGATTTTAATGTAGAATATTAGAGAATTCAACCACAAACTTATAAAGGTATCCCACGTCTAAATCGGGGTCCAATTAACAAGTTATGGAATTTAGAAGGGCTGTTTTTGGGTCCCATTCTGAAAGCCATTGGGTTTTCGGTAAAATCGAACATGAAAATGGGTCAAAATGTTGACCCTAGTCTACAAGAAAGATTTGAATGTAGATTATTAGAAAATTCAACCACAAACTCATAAAGGTTCCCACGGCGAAATCGGGATAGAATTACCCAAGTTATGGAATTTGGAAATGCTGTTTTTGGGTCCCATTCTGAAAGCCATTGGGTTTACGGTAAAATCGAACATGAAATGGGTCAAAATTTTGACCCTCGTCTACAAGAAAGATTTGAATGTAATTATTAGAAAATTCAACCACAAACTCATAAAGGTATCCCACGTCGAAATCGGGATAGAATTACCCAAGTTATGGAATTTGGAAATGCTGTTTTTGGGTCCCATTCTGAAAGCCATTGGGTTTACGGTAAAATCGAACATGAAAATGTGTCAAAATTTTGACCCTCGTCTACAAGAAAGATTTGAATGTAGAATTTAGAAAATTCAACCACAAAGTCATAAAGGTATCCCACGTCGAAATCGGGATAGAATTACCCAAGTTATGGAATTTGGAAATGCTGTTTTTGGGTCCCATTCTGAAAGCCATTGGGTTTACGGTAAAATCGAACATGAAAATGGGTCAAAATGTTGACCCTCGTCTATGGAAGATTTTAATGTAGAATATTAGAGAATTCAACCACAAACTTATAAAGGTATCCCACGTCTAAATCGGGGTCCAATTAACAAGTTATGGAATTTAGAAGGGCTGTTTTTGGGTCCCATTCTGAAAGCCATTGGGTTTCGGTAAAATCGAACATGAAAATGGGTCAAAATTTGACCCTAGTCTACAAGAAAGATTTGAATGTAGATTATTAGAAAATTCAACCACAAACTCATAAAGGTATCCCACGTCGAAATCGGGATAGAATACCCAAGTTATGGAATTTGGAAATGCTGTTTTTGGGTCCCATTCTGAAAGCCATTGGGTTTACGGTAAAATCGAACATGAAAATGTCAAAATTTGACCCTCGTCTACAAGAAAGATTGAATGTAGAATTAGAAAATTCAACCAAAACTCATAAGGTATCCACGTCAAATCGGATAATACCAAGTTATGGAAATGCTGTTTTGGTCCATTCTGAAGCATTGGGTTTACGGTAAAATCGAACATGAAAATGGGTCAAAATGTTGACCCTCGTCTATGGAAGATTTTAATGTAGAATATTAGAGAATTCAACCACAAACTTATAAAGGTATCCCACGTCTAAATCGGGTAATTACCAAGTTATGGAATTAGAAGGCTGTTTTGGGTCCCATTCTGAAAGCCATTGGGTTTCGGTAAAATCGAACATGAAATGGGTCAAAATGTTGACCCTAGTCTACAAGAAAGATTTGAATGTAGATATTAGAAAATTCAACCACAAACTCATAAAGGTATCCCACGTCGAAATCGGGATAGAATTACCCAAGTTATGGAATTTGGAAATGCTGTTTTTGGGTCCCATTCTGAAAGCCATTGGGTTTACGGTAAAATCGAACATGAAAATGGGTCAAAATTTTGACCCTCGTCTACAAGAAAGATTTGAATGTAGAATATTAGAAAATTCAACCACAAACTCATAAAGGTATCCCACGTCGAAATCGGGATAGAATTACCCAAGTTATGGAATTTGGAAATGCTGTTTTTGGGTCCCATTCTGAAAGCCATTGGGTTTACGGTAAAATCGAACATGAAAATGGGTCAAATTTTGCCCTCGTCTACAAGAAAGATTTGAATGTAGAATATTAGAAAATTCAACCACAAATCATAAAGGTATCCCACGTCAAATCGGGATAGAATTACCCAGTTATGGAATTTGGAAATGCTGTTTTTGGGTCCCATTCTGAAAGCCATTGGGTTTACGGAAAAATCGAACATGAAAATGGGTCAAATTTTGACTCTCACTTTAAGAAATACTTTAATGTAGAATATCAGAGAAGTTAAGCACAAACTCAAAAAGGTATCCTACGTCTAAATCGGGATCCAAACACCCAAGTTATGAAAACTGAAAGTTCAGTTCAGTTGACGGAAAAATCGAGATGAAAATGGCTAAAAATTTTGACTTTCGTTCAATAGAAAAAGGGTAAAAGGTTAGAGAATTCAACCACAAACTTATAGAGGAATCCCACTTCCAAATAGTATAAGATGACTTCCCACAGGCCAATTAGGAATTTTAAAGAATTTAATAATGATGAGATTTTGTAGGAATTTGAAAAACTGCAGATGACAAATTTGTTACTTCTTCTTTGGGAAAATGGGAAAACCCTTAGCTCGGGACAATTCATTTGCTGACCCGACTGACACAAAACACATTAATAGGCGCATAAGTGGAGGCGGAAGCCCCGAGAACCCTTCAATCACAACCGCAAGACGAAGATCCTGGCACTCGCCACGCCTAACTTTTTAATTAAGTCAACCGGGATGGAGCCTGGACGGGAACAACTACTACCACAGGACCTAAGAGAGGGCAACAAAGTAACTAATGAAGAAAGTAATTTCCATGACAAAGGCGGCGGCAACTTTGCTCTTTTTCCCGCCTCGAGGCAACTTTCTGCTTTCTGGGTCTCTGTGTGGCTCGCTTCCTAATCCCCATGCCCATTTCCTTGGCCGCCTGCGCTTTTTGCCTTGCAGATTTTGACCTTTTTGCGGGCCAGCATCGAATGGCTCTTGGCCGGGCTTTTGCCTCGGCTTTGCCTTTGAGACTCCGCCGCCGAATTCCCCCTAATGAGGGTCAGTCTGCGAGGGCACACTGTGCCAAAAATATATATACTTTTAGAAAATGCTAGGATAATATCCTTAACTAGAAATTTAGTTCTTAAAGCCATGGTAAACATACAATTTGAAAAGATTTGTCTAAAATATCTATCGTATTTTTTAAGTCCAGCAATCAATTTAAAATAATAAAAACAAATATTTAAGTTTTAATATATATTTTTCTGGAATATATATCCTATTAATTTATTGTTCCTCTAAAATGATTAATCTTCACCAGTGTAGTTCCCCCCTTTTTGGGCTTAATTTAGCAGCTGACCAGCCTACTTTGCACTTGGTTTTAGCCTCGACTCGTGTCATTAAGTTATTAAACTTAAGGCTGCCCAAATGTTTGCCAACTATAAACTTTTGACTCGTGCCAGCCGAAGAAGATGTGCTGCGGGGGCTGTGACTTAATGAAAGCCCGAATTAGCATAACTTTTGGGCCGGGCCACCGACCCCCACCCATGCCCACTCCCACCATCGCCCATTTACAGCCGCCGACTCCCCCTGATGTCCTTGAAGGCGGCTGAATGCCTTGAATTACCCGCCCCGCAAGGACAAAGTGTTTATTTTATGTGCCACGCCGACGTCGAGACGCAGGCCTTGCCTCAACCGCCTTTCAGTGGGCTCCTCGCTGGATCCTTGGGCCGCAATCTGATTGCCACTTGAGCTCATTAACACACGATTAAACCTCAGAGTTATTTACACCGAGGACGAGGCGGCTGCATAAGCGAATGAGTGCGCACAACTAAACCTGGCTAAAAGCGACCGGCTGACTCGATGCATAAAACATCAGGCGGTCATCGGGAAAAACGGAAAACTATGCGTGAATCGATGAAATTAAAGCGAAAGTTTACGCAGATGAGCGACTGTCAGTCGTTAAAGCCAAGGAAATCTGATTTACCCAGCAAAACAAGAAACAGCATGGGGAAAAATACTGTCATAAATTTTGTTGAAATTAGAGTTCCACAAAGTAAATCTTAATTCCAATTAAAAAATATTCACATTATTTTTATCATTCAGATGGTAGCATTTAAATCAGGCTGCCAATTTTATTGATTCATTTGTTATAAATTCTTACCAATTTTTAATTTGGTCAAGATAATTTTTCTGGGCCAAATAGATTTAAAAAGTTTTTTAGACCATGGAATCTATTGTAATTTTTTGGGCTATGATTTTCCCTTGGTGTACCAACAATATGGTGTCCGTTGCTGTTTCTGCCTGCTGTTGGCTACAGTAATTTATTGTTTAGCCGGCAAGTTATTGGGGTTTTAGTGTCGACGACATTAGGCCTAAGCCGCAGAAGCCTACAGCCGAAAACACACAGCCAAACGAACTTACAGCCCGCAAGATATAGATACCCAGTCGGGGCATAACCGCCAAAGCCCGAGATTTGAGGCTGGTTGGCTGGGGCTGTCAGTGTGTCAGTTCCCGACTGGCTTATCCAGCATTGATGTATGTATGTAGGTCCCAAGGACCAAGGACCAAGACCGAGGGCTGAGGGCAGAGGACCCAGGACCAGAGAGCAACCAATTAAATGCCGCAGCTTGTAATGAAACTTTAATCAGTTTCGAGGCGGCCTTGAGCGCGGCCTCATGAATTTAAAGCAAATACTATACACAAATACACGATCAAAGGCTTTAATCCCCAGATGCTAGTTACGCAAAAGCGGCCAATTAAATGGGCTAAATGCGGCGTTAAATATAAAGCAGCCAGCTGGCGGGGGGCAAAAGGAGATGGCAATGGCGATGGCGTTGGCAAAGGCAAAACCAAAGGCAATGGAAATCTAATAAAGGCCAGGCCAGAACGGCAGACATCTGAATGTTTAATGCCGGGCAACAAGCAGCCAGTGAGCCATTAACCCAGACGAGCTCTCAATCAAACGCACGCACACACAGCGGGCTTTCCCCTCCGGAGGACGAAGGACCCTCGAAGGGGTTCAGGACATCGCGGGGAATACGAATGCGAATAAATCCTGCCCAGCAAGTGGCATAAAAATCAGCGACTAAAGCACAATTTAGCTGTCGGAGCGCATTTCTCGAATGCTTGAGGCCAAGCGGATAGAAAGATTAACTCCGACGAGCGCTGAAGCTGCGCCATCGATTTAGGTCGCATTACGCATACGCCCCATATGGCTGCAGGAACCCACACAAAAAAAAACGGGACAAGTGGATGCTTCATTGTTGTGCCTTTAAGAACTTGCACTTGGGTTAAAATGGGGCTGTAAAATTAAAAAACAATATCCGAAGCTACTTTAAAATTGCAGAAGCAATGCACAGTTCTAAATAATTCGCTTTAAGGTGATTTTTTAATAGTTTCATAAATTTTGGAAGCCTTTTAATGCCCGAATAAAATTCCTAGTGTACCACTTTTGCAGCTGCTAATGGCTATTCGGAAGGCAAATAATTGTTAAGCCGAAACGGACTGGTGCTCATTGGATTTCATGACCCTGGCACGCTGATTAAATTCGTAATTCAGAGCGCGCCGCTCCACGCTCGTTTAAAGCGCATAAAGCCGTGAAATGCGTGGGGCACAGGTAAGACTACTAAATGACCCCAGACAAGGGGAGGAGCCCCGCCCACAACCACCGAACCACCAACCACCTAGCCACCGCCTCATTGCCGGCAAACCCGCTTATCTGGCAAAGACGAAATGGCCTGTTAATGACGCAATTTTCAGCGCAAAACTTTGGCAACCAGCAGAAACAGCTGCTGCGACCTTGGCCCGGCCAAAAACAAATTGCCAAGAAAGCGAAAAACTTTACCTCCCGGTCGCAAGGCAGCCACAGGATTCTAGATTCTGTATTCTGGAAGCTGAATTCTGAATTCTGGATTCGGCCACGGAACGCTGCCCATGATCAAAGGCGAGTTGTGTCAAAGGCTGCCCCGATATAGCTGATACACTCACTCACTCACTCTGCGCTTCTTTGAAAGCTTTTAAGCGCACTTTAGGCCAATTTGGTTGAATCAGCTTAGAGTCAGACTTACCAACAACTTGCATGGTGTCCACTGCGGTGGCGGTCGAGAAGAGGGGGCGTCGGCGGTCACTTCGCATGAAAAGTTGCCCGAGAGACCGAATCCCACGTTGCGCAACAGCACCTGGGTGGCATTCGAGCTGCTTACCTGTTGAGCAAAGAGCAGACACGGTATTTAAAACAGGGGATAAGTAACTGGTCTAAGCACCATAGAAAAAAGACCCCTTAAAAGAGTACTTCACCTTCATCTTTAAAACTTAAATAAACAAATCCCTATTATTTAAAAATAAATTTTATTTAAAAAGACGATTGCTTGGAAAAAAATGTATTTCAGCGTGGAACACTAAAAATATAATCTGAGCCAGAAAATTATGCCATGAACTGTTTACATTGTCAATTTCCTATCGGCCTTAAAATATCATCTTAAAAATCTTAAAAAAGGTACTCTGTGGAAGCATGTGATGTAAAGCTAAAATATGGATAGCTGTAAAATTAAAGTTTGATTACTTAGGCTATTAGCTGTATAATGCAGTGCTGTTTCAACCCAGATACTAAAGATGCAACTTTTAAGGCACCCTCCTCCTTCACAAAAGCATTATAAAATGCTCTACTTGCGAAATAAAAGCAACATTTTAGTAGGTACCTAAATATATTGACAAAGTCCTTTGTATTCGCCCACTTTGTAATGTTATGCTGCACTCGGAAAAACGATAAATCGACACCCACCTGCAATCGCTCAGCTGTCCGCAATCTGACATCGAGTCCAACAAAGAAATGCACTTAAATTTATTAAAACAGCTTAAAAAACAAACAAATACAAGCACAGCCAACAGCCAGCAGAGTAAAAGTAGAAAAAAATTGCCTCCGGCTGGGGTAAAGTAAAAGTTTTTGACGACAAAAAAAGAAAACAGCCAAATAAAATAAAAAGGAGAGTACAAAAACTAAAGATAAACTCGCTGGCACAAACTCAATAGCCTGATGAAATATTTAGCCAGATTCGGAGCAACTTTATCGAAGCAACGAAATTGCAAGGACCTGCCTTCTCCCACTACTACTACTACTACCACCACCACCGTCGGCTGGATAAACTTTTTCAATAATCTAGCCAAAGTAGAATTACCCCATCCGAGACTCAATTCTCGCCCTCAGCCTCCCAGCCCCCCTGCCACGCCCCTTTGCCCGGCAGATTGCAGTTTTTGCAGGTGGGCGACAAAACTCAGACGCAGCATGCAAAAATTTAAATGAAATTTTTGCCGCAGATAGCCGCGCGTTGATAGCGCCCACAAAAGCTGGCATTCCGGCATCCTGGCGTCCTGGAGTCCTAAAGTCCTGTCGTCCTGGCGTCCCAGCCAGGTGTCCCCTGGCATTTTTTGAATAACCGCCAATAACAATAAAACTGCCAAACTGAATATGCATGAGCGGAAAGTTTAAAATATACAATATAAATAAATGCAGTGTGCGCGCAATTAAGGACATCAAAGTGGAGCTTCGAATGGATCGGCTGGTTGGCTCCTTTCTGGCTGCCGTCCTCATCGACTGACTGAGTCGAAGTGACCGGCAAAAAGTGGAGCCCACGGGCTGCTTTAACGATTTGCTCTCCTGGAAAATTCGACTTCCTTTGCATTCTGGGTTCTTCATAGCAGCATTTACAATTTTTATCTCATAGAACCAATTAAGTTATCTATAACTTCCTGTCTTAGAAATATAACATTCCTAACATTTTATAAAACTCAATTTTATAAAATAATATTGCTATTATTTATAAATAAAGTATTTAACAATCTATTATAATATAAGTGTTTAATCCTTGTCCAAATAAAGCCTCCTAAAATCTGTATAAATTATGTGCTTACAAAAACATAATTTATTTAAAGAAATTTCTAGGGTATCCCAAGGTGCGGTTATACAACATAGATATTTTTAATTAAAACATATACTTACATCCACATGAATGCCGGGGAATGGAAACACCTTCGTATTGGGGAACTCCCCGGGCGTATAGCGGTAGAACTCGAGCTGGCCGCGATAGAACTTGGCCGAGTACAGTGGAGCCCCGTCCAGGTCGTACATGCAGCGCAGCACCACATGTTGGCCTCGCCGCACCGCCGGTGGTTCGATTATTAAATTGACATTGCGCAGCGCGCACTCCACGAGCTCTGCAAAATAGAGGGGAAACGGAAATGCATAGGTGAAAAAATCGTTGATGGAATTACGCGCGAACGCAAAGCCTGGGGATTCCAATTTAGTGTATTTATTTTAATAAATTATTGAAATATTGTCCGAAAGCGGACTCGTCGGCGACACTGATAACACATAATCCGGAGCTTAACTGCACCGCAATTGCTTGCATTTCAGTTGCAGGCGCTTGTTTTTGGCATTGGTTTCGTGTGTGGGGTTCGCCTGCGGCCAAAATGCTTAAAATGCCATGCAAATATGCCGAAAACTCAACTTAGCTGGTCAATTTTTTTCGATACCCTTTAATAACATAGAGTCTCTCTGGTCGAAAGTTTTTCACAAATTTTTTGTCATTAAAAAAAATTTATAACAGGTTTACATTCGTATTTGCCTAACGAATTGTTCTGGCAAAAATATTATACATATTAAATAAATACTTTCTAATTTAACAAACTCTATTTTGGTTGGAGTACCCTTCATTGTCTCCCAAATTCAATAATAGCATTTCAAATATTTATTCAAGAGCATTTGAAAAGTCTGACAACCAAAATCCCAGTTTCACCTTGTTTTTGTTCATGTTTCTCGACAACTGATTGTCATATTGGGCGCGTAAATGATTTATAAATGTTTTTTCAGCCATCGAAAGCTTGATAGATTATGGTGGGATTTCGTGGGGCAGTTATGCAAACGAATATTACTAAATTGAAAATATTATAATAAAAACGGCTGGCCATTTGTAAGCCCAAACTTCGTAACTGAGTTTTAATTGTAAGCCAGTCAAAACTGTAATGCCAATGAATGAGGGGAAACTAAAATGGTTTTATAAATCATTTTGAGCAGGCTTTAATATGTAAGGCAAACGCTTTTCAAGATTTATGGATCTTGGTTGTGAGTTTTCCGTGACCTTCACTTACTTAGGCAATTTTCTTGTTTGCCAGCCAACTTTTATTAATTACCAAACAATCAACGCCAATTTCCGGCAACTTTATGACCGCCCATTTCAGAGTCGTTTGTCAACAAATGCGTAGCATAACTCAAGGCGCCAAGGCAATGAGTCCCTCTCCCTCTCGCTCATAGTTCCGTCCCTTTCTGGAGCTGGTGTTTTACAAGCGTTTTTCGAGCATTTCCAACATAGCCTAACAAGGCACTCAAAAATTTTTTATATCTTATTTGGGTCACATTTCATGCGGCTGTGCCCTTAAGAATAATGGCACATAATTTGCGGCTTTCCCAACAGACCCTTTGTGAGAGCGGGGAGGAAAAGCCGGGGAAAAGTCCGTGGAATGCGGGGCAAGGATTCGGTTCCTTGTAAATCTCTCGCGAGGCGAATAAAATAAAATTGTTTTCATTCTTTTTCTACATGCCAGCCAGCTGTGCGTAATTCATTACCTTCGGGAGTTGTTTGCATATCGGACGATATCTTTGGCGACTGCATGAAAAATGCCAGGGAAAATCAGCATGATTTTCATTATGCCAATGCCACTGTCGAGCGGCGTGCCCTTTAACATTTACTCCATTTGCAGGCTGTAAAATGAATTCTTGCACATTGACCTTAATGACCAGCGGGGCCTGTCAGGATAATTGGCCAACTGCCCCTGTGTCCTGGCCAGGGACATTGGCAACGGTGCCCAAGCAACAAGGAATTACAAAAAAGTGAATAACTATAGTCCATTGTAAAGACTTTGAGGTACCCACTAATACCCTTACTTTAATTATAAGATTATTATTTTGTTAACCTAATAAAATTTAAATATATTTAGATATGGATGTTATTTGAAATGATATAACTTGCTATATAATAACTATCTTTCAGGTTTTAAAAAGGTTTTCATATCCGAAAAACACAACATACCTTTCCTTTTCTATTAAGAATTTACCATTTCAGAAGGTGTACTGCATACTCTTTAAAGTAAGCCCCTTCCAAATTTATATACCCATAATACCTGGTGGGTAAAACACCTGCCTCAACTTAAGCACTACCTTAAAGTCCTTGCTAGCCGCATAAATATTTGCACACTGAAATCGAAAATTCCGCTTGTTTGCCAATTGAAAATTGGAAAGTGTAGTTGCCGTATACCGCCCGCTGAGAGTTTTCCCAGAAGCAGCACAATCCGGGGCAGAAGCGGCGAAATGCAACCGCAAATACTTGCTTATTGCTGGGAAAACTTTGCTTGTTAGTGTTTAGGTGGAAGGTGCAGCAAGAAATCATAGCACACAGAGTTCTGGGCCCTGGGTTCTGGTTTCTGGGGAAAAGCAACAGAGAGCAGCTGAACAATGTCTATAAATCCACACGCACACTCCAGATATAGTTGGAAAGGTAAAAAGTTTGTGCAAAAGTCACATATTTGTTCGATTCTGCTAAGTGCCAGCTTACAAGTGCCTTGTCCTTATCCTTTTGCGATTTGTTTACATGGCAGTCAAAGTGGGGACCCAGGAAAAAAGGAGAGAGAGAAAGGTATTTCGTCCTGGATCGGGGGATTTTCCTGCCTGCTAAATATCAATGCACCTGGCCCCTCCCTTGTTTGTTTCTATCTTCTTTGTCCTGCTCCCTGGACGCTGGGAAAACTGCCCTTTTTCACGCTCTTTCACAGCACTTTTCCCAGCACTTTTCCACCCAGTTTCATTGTTTTTCAATCTGGACGGAGTGCGTCATTCGTCGAAGCCGCAAGTGATACCAAATTGAAAAGTTAGATGCCATTTTTTGCCGCCCTCTCCGGGGGTTTACTGAATTTCTACACTAACCACAGGCTAGCAGGGTAAAGTTTCCCAATTTTTATTCGACAGAGATAAAAACTAACACCAATATATAATATTTTCAGACTATATTTTACAACAATTTAAATAAATATTCTAAAATATTATAATAATATTTTCTAAGAACTTTAATGTTTCTTTTTAATGTTTGTGGCACTGTGGAAATTCAATCTATTAGTCCATGATTACAAAAAAGAATTTTCTCTCTGTGTTGCCACAGGATACCTGAATAAGTAACTAAATTTTGTTCGGAGAATCTGTATATTAGTTTTAGTTTTGCTGATCGATTGCCTTTGAGAGCCTGGTCTAAACTGTGTTCAATTTGTTGCGAATTCGAAATTGTTGGCTAAATACGCTGTTCGCTTACGGATGCCTGAAATCCTGGAAACGTGGGCCAGCCAAGGCAAACAAGCTGCCGAATTGGAGTGGGTTCATATGAATATCACAGCACAATAATTTGCAGAGTCGCTTTCCATATCAAGGCAGGGCCAAAACAAACAAATATCGGCCCAACTGGCATGTAATATCTATGTGCATTCATGTGCACGTGTGGGTGGCATTGTCTCGGTATTTAATAGGCTTTTGTTGCAGCTTTCCATTGAAAACGGAGATTGTTGAGCCCCGCTTTGCTCCTTGGCATGTTTACCCGGAGTCTCCACAACCACTCCACCGCTCCTGTTTCTGTTTCTGTTGCTGTTTCGGTTTCCCATCAGCGTGCTCATTGCCTGACTGGCAGCTCATTGAAAGATTTATCATTCACCAGAAATAGCAAGCTCTGCGAAAGGAGCGGGTGATTCGAAAAGGGATGGGTGCACAGGAAGAAAATTTTGAATTTTAAGGTGTCAACTTAAAAATTCAAAGAATTGCAGATTAAAGTAAAAAAATGGCTTACCTAAAAATACAAATTTTATTTTATGCATTTTGCGAATATCATTTCAGGTGCTAAAAAGTATGCAGTGAATAATTTCCTGAATGAATTCATTGTACATCTGAGGCTAACATAAATTGTTGCATACTTTTTGACACCGGAAATTAAATTTAAAAGTGATTTCAAAGCCAAAGTAGTTTGTGTAGCTAGATTACGAATGAATAAAAAAAAAAGTCTTTTTAAGGACATTTAATTTTGAAAATACATTTTTGTATTATAGACTTAGTAATATTTCAGATCTGTAACCATTTCTTTCGGTTTATAATGCCTTTGCCAGTGTATCACAGATGACGAGCCACCTGTCCGGGGTCCTGATTCCCGACCGTGTTGACACAGCCCACATGGGCGGCCCAAACACATGCATAATGGAATTTCTAATAACTGCCACAGCTCCCCGACTCGACTTCACTCGATTCGAGAATCCAGGGGACCAGAGGACTAGAAGGACCTGAAGACCAGAACAGGAGCAGCCGAGCCTTCCTGCTGGGTCAACAGCATTTAGTGACAATAAGCGTGCTGCAGTTCATTTGCTCAGGCGGGTCAAAGAGCGGTCCGTGTGTCGGTTTGCCATCGGTCAGAACTGAAATGGCTGGTGGGATGGCTAGATGGCTGGATGGCTAGATGGCTGGGTAGTTGGCCAAGTGCACTTAGTCAGGCATCGGCGAACATGCACTTCAGCAGCCGGAACAGAAATGGCAGCACGACCCCATCCAATCCGAGGCAAAGCAATTTAATTAACATAAAAAACGCAACTCGCACAATTCGAGACCATAAATCAAAAACCCGCACACGCCCAGCACTAAACTAATGCCTTGGAAAAAAACTAATACTGGAAAAATGTCTGGCAAAAAGTGCAATCGGCAAGAAAAAAGGGGTAGTGAATGGGGTAGAAAGGCGAGGAAAAACTGGGAAAAGCGCTTCTAATGAAACCGAAAATGCTAGTTATGGTTTACGATACCCGGCTCTTATGGCGGTTCTGGAAACGAAGTTGGACTCGGAGAAACATTTGTTTCTGCGCTGTGTTTTTGTCACAACCCCAGAAGGAAAGAACCCCCGAGGGCAGGGGATGAGGGTCCCGGACCCAACCCAAACCCACATTTAAATCGGAAACATAACCGACTCCGAAACCCAGAGACCAACCCGTTCGTGACGTGTCCAGAGGGCATCAGCCCAAACAATGGGCCCAACATAATTTAGTTAAAATTCCCTTTGTCCAGGGGCGTGGCACACCTCGCCGAAGGAAATGAAAAATGCTGATTAGGAAAACGCAAACCATAATTTGTTGTGTGATATGGCTGG